TGAACAATAGTTTCTTCATTATGAACACATTCAGAAGCGAGTCAATCTTGAGATATGCAGCTAGTGTACATATGAACACAATATGAACACTTGTGAACAATAGTTCCTTCATTATGAACACATTCAGGAGCGAGCCAATGTTAAGATATACAGCTAGTTACATATGAACACAATATGAAAACTTGTCAATAATAGTCTTTTCATTATGAACAATGAGTTTATCCATAATATCTTGAACGATACTGAAAACTTTACTATCGGTTCTCCTTTACCAATCACAAATTCAAAAACATTATAGATAAAAAAATTAATATTATAAAAAAACAAGATCAATACTAAATTAACAAAAATCATGAGATTTTTTTTATTTTATAACTCCCAATTAATGATATGGGAGTTACATAAAAATAAAGTTACATATTTATCCTTGTTATTAAATTATAAGATGGATTATCATTGGTTGAAAATGGTTAACAAAGTTAACACAATAAACTTGATTAACATTTGAAGCAGTCTCTCTCTCTCTCTCTTATATATATATATATATATATATATATATATATATATATATACTAGGTTTGATCCCGTGTATTACACGAGATAATTTGAAAAATTAAATTATGTCAGGAACTTATCTTACAGATATGAATGATCATCGAAAGTACGATGTTACTTTATACTTGTACTTTTGAAATGATTCTTGAGAATAACTCTTAAGACTTGAATTTAGAAATGAAACTATATCAATAATTAATTAAAATGAAGTTAATCCTAGAATTAAATTAAATTTAGAAATGAAACTATATTAGTAAATTGAATTTAAACTTAGTGGTAAATTTATGACGACTCTTCATACTTGTACTCTTGAAATAAAAGTATAACTCTGAAAAATGACTTCAAACTTGGACTTATACTCTTGAAATAATTCTGAAGTAAAAATCTTCAGATTTCAGAACTCTGTATAATCAAGAAAAGTCAACTTTTATCGACGTCAGCCACAAATCCCCACAAATCCGTCACTGAATTTAAAAATAAAATAAAATTTTATTACTACAAATTTCCCGACAGATTTGTAACGGATTTGTAACTGATTTTTTTACTTATTTAAAACTGTCACAAATCCGTTGAAAATCCGTCACAGGTCTAATTTATTTAAATAAATTAATTAGTGTTAATTAATTAAAATTTACGATGGATTTTAATTGATTTTTATATTTAATTATACTCTGTCGGAAATGTTTAAGAAATTTTTTTTATATTTTTCCCTTCCAAAAAAATATGTTTTAAAAAAATCCGACGGATTGTAATTTTCTAATAAAAAGTTATATTCCGTCGGAATTTATTTAAAAAAATATATGTTTTATAAGAAAAAATAAAAACTTTTTTTAATAAATTCCGACAGAATATAATTTTTTATTATAAAAATTATTATTCGTCGGAAATTTTGAACTTCTTTTAAATATATATTTTTGGAAGGAAAAAAATATAAATAAAACTTCTTTGAACATTACCGACAGATTTCAGACGAAATTTGCATTTAGCGGCGGGGGTTTTTCCGACGACAATATCTGTCGTATAGTTGTTTTTGCTACGAATTTCTGATGAATTTTGTCGTTGGAAAAACCACATTTTTTTAGTAGTGATCAATCAAATAGGTATAATTGAACTATTAATGTAAATTGTGTCTAGATACGTTCAAATAAGTCTAATTGAATCACTAACATAAATTGTGTCTAGATACGTGTTTAGGCGGAAAAACAAGAAAACCATCTCACCAGAAGATGACACGTATCATCCAAATTATTTATTTATTATAAATGTATATATATATATATATATATAGGGTTTATTTCAAATACAACCTATCGCATTTGTACAACCAATGCAACCCAATAAATTGAAATATTTATGGAAGTGATTAGAGTTCATTTATTATGATTTAAATATTTATGGAAGATGAATACGGTTCATTAATTATGATTAATACTTTATATTAGGAAATAATCAAAACCTCCGTAAAATCACATATCAATCAAATGAAATGGACGGTTGAGATTGAGTTGTATTGGTTGCACAAATGACAAAGGTTATATAATAACCAACCTCTATATATATATTGTCTATAACGTTGGATTGCTGTTTCTACAAATTTTAATTAAATTTTATTAAACTATCTATTAAGCCAGTTTGTGGATCTATATTAAACCGCTTATGAACATTGAAACGACTTTAAAATAAGCATAAAGACATAGGGGTCATTTGGTTCGCAGAATGATTTCTGAATGAATGGAATCTGTTAAAGGAATTTGAATCTAGAAGGAATTGGAATAAAATGTTATCAGTTTTGACCAAGTGTTTGGTTGGCAGAAATGGAATATAATCTGTCTAATGAATTTGAATTTGTCTGTTTAGTTTGCAACATAATTGAAATAGAATGATGAAAAGGGACAAAAATACTATTTCTTTGAATGGGAACCACATACACATCGAATGAAAACAGCATAAACATCAAAAACAGAAATCAAATGGAAGTCTGGTTCGTAACCGAAGAAGCTAAAAAGGAGTAATCGAATGGAAGCAGTACATGAAGCGATATAAATCGTAACTAGGTTTAATCGATTAACAGTAATCGAATGGAAGTTTGAGAAATCGAAGCAGGTTCATAAAATAAATCGATTAAATCAGTAAGCAGTAATCGAATGGAAGCAAGTTTGAGAAATCGAAACAAGGTCATAACAGAAATCGATTAAACCAGTAAGCAACAATCGAATGGAAGCAGTACATGTTTGAGAAATCGATTAAATCAGTAACAGGTTTAATCTATTAGCAGAAATCGTAACTAGGTTTAATCGATTAACAAAAATCGTAACTAGGTCTAATCGATTAGCAAAAATCATAACAAGTTTAATAGATTGAAGTTGAGTCAAGGAAATCGTAACAGTTCATTCATGGAAATCTATTAACATAAATTGAAGCAAATGAAAGCACAAAGCAGAAAAGCAGTAACAGGTTTGAGAAATTGACATGCAGAGTGTTCGATCGAGAAGAAGATGGAAGCAGCGTTCGATCAAGTAGAAGATGGAAGCGGTGTTCATTGGTAGAAAGAATAGAGAGTAACGGCCAGAGTTAAGTCTAATGAGGATATTTTTGTCATTTACACAATTTGTGATGGAATGAATTTTAATTCCATCATTTCTTCTAAGGAATGGTTAAATCCTTCAAATGATAGAATCTTTAGAATTCAATTCCATTCAATGGGTAATCAAACGTTGGAATGGAATTTAGTCAATGAAATTAACTATTCCAATTCTATTAGATTCTGACGAACCAAATGCCCCGCATAGAATCTTGAATACATAAACTTTATAAACTATACATATCTTAATATATCTTCTGAAAGTATGTTATTTAAAATAATAATCGAATAAAAGTAACATTCTTTCAATTATGAGTTATCAAAATGCAATAAAATTTGATCTATTTCTGTTATTTAATTGCAACATCTTAATATTGTAATAGTTGATGTCGTGAAGAGTTACCAATGAAATTTTTATAGAGCAACTTGACATCCACGCTATCAAATATTACAAGATTAATAAATTAATTAAAAAATTCAAAAACTGTGTTGATTCTATTCGTATTATTGATTCCATGTTCAGACGTGTATACGTACGTAAGTGGGCAATTAAGATGTGCATGGTTGTATACAGCTGCAGCTTGCAACGTGGCTTTGGGTGGCAGTACCACCACTTGACCATTCCTCAATTCTTGCAACTGGATTACCATTTTCTTTCATATACCTATCTTCTAATAAAATAAAATAAGAAAACCTAAAATTACTTCTTTTTTGGTTATCATGCATGGGTGTTCTTCAATTAATTAATTTTATTGATTGTCTTTGAAAAACGTACAAATATTCAAAGCCAAACAAACACGTTTGTTTGGTTTGACGAAATGGTTTTGAAGGATTCGAATTTAATGGAAAGATTTGAATTTAGAAGGATTTGTGATCTTTGATGTGATGGATTTGGAATGAAATGAAATTCTATTTTTATAAATAATTTATGAAAAATAATTAAATTATCTTTTTATTAATGAATTATTAAATAACAAGTGTTTTAAACATATTTTAAAACATTATTATGTAAAAATCTTACGAAATATATCTCTTAAAATCCCAACCACCTCAGTGAGATTTTAAAATTATATGTTGTAGGGATTTCAAATAAATCATAGGATTTCAAATCCGAACAATCCTGCAAACCAGACATGGATTGGAATGAATTTGAAATTCAAATCCCTTTAAATTCTTTCTACTCCGACAAACTAAACGGACCTTTAATGATCTTAACGAGACAGTGAATTAATGACCTCTGTTGAACGATCCAAAATCTTACCAAATCAGTGTCACATTTATAGCAAAAGCAAGAAACGTCCACGCAAATCCTTGATTCAGTGGTTATCTACATATATTATTCAGTCAACTCTCTCCACAACCAGATAATGTCGACATTTAATAATACACATCTCTCTTCAATCGTCATCACTTCACATGATTTTTACCCCTAATTTCTTAAACACAAACTAACTGTGCGTTTGATTTGGAGGATTTTTCTGAACGGATTTGGATTTAAAATTATTGGTGTGTTTGATTTGTAGGATTTCATTATTTATAAATAATTTATCAAAAAAATTATAAAAAAAATTAAATTACATTTTTATTAATCGGTTATTACAAAAAAAAAAAAAGTTTAATATTTTTTAAAGCCTTATTAGATACAATCCTACGAAACCCGAGCACTCTCTCAGGATTTCAAAAATCTATATTTTCATCAAAAATTGATATGAGCGTTAACAAGAAATGGTTAGCATGTAAAATCGACCATCGTTCCGAACTTCTGTCTGGCTAATTAATTCATGTTCATTTCACATTAACGTGAGTGAACATCCAACCAATATCTTCCCATATGAGTTGACCAAACTCTAATATAAATCTACCTTCTTTAGCTAACACCCAACCACACCTTCAAGCACACGCAAACTTCAATTTGCTGCTATCAAGATTCCGGTGGCCATGGCATCCATTGACACCACAGCTCATCCACCTGCCGCCACCGACCCACCAACGAAGTATTCGGTGCCACCACCTGAATACAAAGGCAGTAGTTTCGGTCCGGTGGTTGATATGGCCTTGAGGGTCATACTGTTTGCAACCGCCTTGGTTGCTGTCATCGTTGTGGTCACATCTAAACAAACCAAACTGATTCCAGTTGCACCCGGCATTGTAATTCCTAAGGATGCAAAATTCAATCACTCCCCAGCTTTCATGTAAGTAATTAACGGGTATTAATTAATCTATAGATATTATCATGAATTCAAGACTTATTGCGAACGGGTGTTTGTGTATGGTGCAGATACTTTGTGGCCGCACTCTCGGTAGCCTGTTTGTACAGCATCATCACTTGTGCGTTATCGGTTTTGGCATTGAAAAAAGCCGGAGGAAGCTCCACAAAGCTGCAACTTCATTTCATCATCTTTGATGCTGTAAGTTACCTTAATCTCTAATTTCGATTATAAATGAACAGACCTATTTGTAGACACCACAAAAAATCGTCTTCAAATACGTCTAAATGTACTAATAAACAATTGTATAATGAAATTAATTAATCGGTCGAATATATTGTGTTACGAAAAGAAAAAGCGAACTAAGCTATGATCAATGGGTATGTTGCAGCTACTTCTGGGCATTGTGGCTGCAGCAACTGGTGCAGCAGGAGGAGTTGCATACATTGGACTCAAAGGGAACTCTCATGTCAGATGGAACAAGATCTGCCATACGTATGATTCGTATTGTTTCCACTTTGCAACCTCTATTCTTCTCTCACTTATATCCTCTATAACGCTTCTACTGCTCGTTTGGCTCTCGGGTTATGTGCTATCAAAGAAGATCGCGCGGCGGTGAATCTGTCAGACCGATAAAATATTGACTTTCCATGTACCGATTTGACGTTAATGCCTTTGGTCATTCAATTTGTATCTGTATGTGTTTTTTGTTTTGATGGTTTGTGTTCAATTATGAAGATTATGGGAGATGGAGGATTGATTAATTTGTGATAGAAAATTGTTAGAGGTCCAAATTAAGTTGCAAGAAAACTGTAGATTAAAGACATTGTAAGAGTGTTATGAATACGAATTATTTGTGTACCGTGTACTGACAAGATCTTTTACTAGTTTTGATATGAAGTAATTAATGAACCATGAATATATATATATATATATATATATATATATAAATAAAGGAGCGTTCAAATAAAAACTTGCCCCATTTGTGTAAACCGTGTAAACTAATCCCATCCGTCAATTTTCTTGATCAATGACTAAGATTAATTTACTTTATTTTAGGAAATTAAAAAATAAAAAATATTAAAAAATTATTTTATTTCAATGATAAGGGCAAATTGGTAAACAAAAGTTAACATCAATATAACATTA